AATAATTTCTGCCAGAGACAATGCACTCTGTCTTGTTGCCCTAAGACAAGTTAGCATTCATTTACTTTAAAGTTCCTTTAAGGCCTCAGATGTAGGCAATACCTGGTGGAATCAGAGCCAGGAATGAGAAGGATTCACTGCAGACCCAGAAGAAGGAACATTTTGAGGATCTGGCCAGGATGTCCACCACTGAGGTAGCAGGCCGAGGACTCTGGGGAATGTGAGTCCATTACCTTGACAGAGGTTGCTGAGGTAGTCAGAAAAGCTCCCCGGTGGCAGGTTGCCAAGAATGAACTTGATTTGCCGTAGGATGCTGAAGGCTCTCAACATCATGGAGCTGTCGCGGTTGACGCTCCTTCTCAAAGTTGCATGAAGGACGAGGACAACCTTTGTGGAGACGGAGAAAGAATGGTAGTCCCAGCTACTTCAACTATTAGGTGATCAAGCCTCACGAGAAACGTTTATTCCAAAAGGATGACTGGAGCAATTGCCAGACAGGTGGATTTAGTTCATCTGAAGATCGGATTGGTTCTGCAGTTCCCTTTGGTTTTGAGAAGGGAGGGAATTCACGAGGGTTTCTATAGAAGAGTGATGAACCTAGTTCATAAAAACAAGGCTAATGAAATAAGACTAAATCCTGCCAAACACCCCGCCACTCTCTGGAGCAGCAGACTAATCCGTGCTGATTCAAGCATTTCTGGGCTTTTTTTTTTTGCCCCAAGTGCGGCTTGCAAGGTATTCATTCCTACCAGAGACCACTGCAAATGTTTTGATTAAACAAGTGAACCACACCTTTAACCCTCCCACTGTCTTCATGGGTGACCCCGCCAGGAAAGTAGACCATTGAGCAGGGTTGATGGTTCATCCCTTGAGGTCCACGTGGCAGGAATGAGGAGTGAGCACCACCTCACCCCTGCCATGTGGACCTGAAGGGATAAACCATCAACACTGCTCAATGGTCTACTTTCCTGGTGGGGTCACCCATGAAGACATTGGGAGGGTTAAAGCAAAATCAAATTTCTCTTTGCTCTGGAGATCCCCACAGGAAAGTTTGATGCTTTCTTGTTACGTTCGTACTGTGTTTGTTTTCTGATTTTGCTTTCTTTAGTTCCTCGTTGTACACACTGTGATGAGGGTTTATTTTTACTAGGGATGGATAATATATCGGCATCAATATTGGTATCGGTCGATGTTAGTCATTTTTTAACATATCAGTGTTGGTTCGATAAATAAAACCGGGCCGATATTAACAACCAATGTTTTTTCCATCTTGTCTTGATTTGTTTGCCTGTTTCAGAGGGTGAGGAGGGTGATGTGTAATTGTTTAGTCAATTGACAGTGAATGTAATCATCTCAGAACCATAAATATGTGTGGTGTGTGTACATAATAACGTAAATTCAGCTTGAATAGTTTTCATTCTATACAAAATCTGCTGATTTTAGAAGCATTAATGTCAGTTTATTGGTTTTGGCAAATATCAGTTATCGGCCATAACAGTGACCTTAATATTGGTATCGGCCCTAACATTTCATATCGGTGCACCACTAGTTTTTGCCTTAGCCGACATGTTTCAATGTCACTGCCGCCTTCGTCACAGTAACCGCCGGATGTTGGTGGCGTCACTTCGTTTTATCTGCGGACACCAGAGGATGATATCGCACCCTTTCTGCTGATCACAGTGTCCCATGAATGGTCCAGCGTGTAGACTCCTTCATCCTTGTTCATGCTCCTGGATTCACGCCTCCTTATTTAAACTGCTTCTTTGATCGTCCTGTGCTGCCCGCGGATTAAAGGAAGTGACGCCACCAAAATCTGGCGGTTACCGTGACGAAGACGGCAGGGACGTCGAAACATGTCGGCAAAGGTAAAAACAAACCCTCATCACACTGTGTACACCGAAGAACTAAAGAAAACAAAAGTTTGATGCCTTATGAAATATTCTTTTTATTTTTGTTCAGAATGAAAAAAACTCCAACATCCTTTTCACATGCTGCCTAAAGTCATTCTTACTAAACTGTCTTAGTCTTTCCTCCTCACTTGCTTTAACAAGGCTCAGGTTGTCATAACACTTGACAGGAGAGGGGGAGGTGTGAGGGTAATTGGGTTTGGAATATCTTAGTCAGCATGCAAATTTACGTCAACATTTTCTCAGGTGTTTCTACTTTTACAGCAAAACACAGATTACAAACAGATTTTGATGCATGGCAGGTGTACGAATAACACCTGCAAGTTCAACAGAACCAGTTGAATCACTGATTGCAAAAGTGGATGTCATTGATGACGTTTCCCAAGTGCAGAGATTTTGTTTGGACCAGAGCTTTTTGAGTATCTCACAAAGGCAATGCTTGCATGCAAATGTAGAAGCTGTACAACGGTTTGTCCTGCAGCATTTCACACTTAACTGTACTCCCAAACAAAGAGGAGGAGGAGGGCATGCTTGATTAGAGGAAGAGCGTACCATACTGTGCTTGACTTAATTGTTTTGTTCTAACAATAGCATACAGTATGTGACATGTAAGCCTATTTTATAACAGGGTTTCTCTCCAGTCAAACAGCAGCTATTTATACTGTTGTCATTGTTTCAAATGCACATTTTCTTAAAGAATTACAAAAAGTGATTCTTATTAACAGGTGAAGTTTGTACGAATGACATCCTGTTGTCAGATGTGGGTACTCTATTTTTTAAAGCAACAATATTTCTTTCTCACGGCCGTTTCGTGAGTTTCATGGCTGTTGTCAGTTACAGTTCAGCACCAGAAGATTGTAGATGACATGCAAAAATAAGACATACGCAGTAAGTTAACAAGCATACAAAAAGATTGCTATTGGTTTTGGGTACACCTATTATACATATTATGGCAATAACTATCTCATAGTGGGCGTGCAGTTTGCCTTGCTGTTAGTTTGCTGTTACAGGGAGCCTTAAGCTTGGTTTATGCTTGACGCATTCACTTTCCGCTTGGTGATGCGGCTCGCGGATGGAACGCGCTTCACAACTCGCAGCGTTTATGGTTCGTGCGGCTTGTCTGTGCGGTGAGCCAATATTCTCCCAAAATGAACGTGGCAGCATGGAGCTCTACAGCATGCATCCAACACTACACCGTAGTAGAAGTAGAAATTACTGTTTACAACATGGTATTCCAGCATTTTTAACAGCGTTCTAATCTTTTCCGACAGTGCGAGCCATTTCTCTCCAAGTATTATTTACATGTTGATCACGGTGATCTCTGAGAGCTGAATCATACAAATGTCTGTATTTACGAACCTCTGCCATACTAGTTCTTTCCGGTCCGCCATGTTTTTCCACATCAGACCATCCGCGTGGTTAGAAATTTTCCGAGGTGCGCGTTGCGGAAATTGTGGGCCGTGCGGAGGCGCGGTGGAGGGGCGTGGTTGTTAAAATGACGCAAAATGATGCAACTTTTCCGCGCGGAGCCGTGCGGACCTCGCGGACGCGTCAAGCATAAACCAACCTTAAGTCATGCCCGTCTACTTCTGGGCCCTGGGTCCCTGGAAGAATGAAAAAATGAATGCAATCAGTGCGAAAACGGAGAAAAACGGACAACCCAGTTGGCTGAGAATGAATTGTGTTTCAGAATAACTTTCCTTCTAACATGATTAAAACATTAGACTGTTTTGTAATTATTTCAAAGCAGAATTCTTACAAATTGCACCATTAAGTGACTAATCTTCAACAGATCACAACATACTGTTGATTTAGCAAGAAGGAAAAACATGATGTGACAATGATGCGATTAAGTAGTTCAGTAAACATCATAAGTGCAGCCGGGATCTGATTAACTTTGCGCTGTCAAATTCAACGAATAATTTAAAAATAGACAGATTTCAAAACATAACATAATTTAGACTGAACAGCTACCTCACTAATCAGTTCTGGGTTTTCTTATTCAACTAGCTCCATCTTTCATCTTAGCCAAAGATGCATATTTATCCCCTACTGTATTTGTTCAAATTTTGTCCAGAAACCATAAATCAGCCAGCAGTGCTGTATTACTTATGCACTCAGCAGTTATAAAGCATTAATTGGTTATTCTGGGAATTGAAAAAAAAACTTAAAACAAAGCAGCCTTAATGAAGCAATAAAGTACCTAAAATGGAACGAACCAATTTCCATATCCTGTAAATATTAAAGAAATTGGACCTAGATGAGCCAAAGGGCACTCGAGGAGCTCTTTTTATATTATTTTTATTGTAATGAGCTGTCAAATGATTAGTCAGCATAAATATGTAAGCAAATCAGATAAATGTGTGAAAAATGTGCGTTTGAAGCAGCTTTCCCTTGGGGTAAATAAAGAAAAGAAAACCGGACTTGTTCGAGCTTGACAGCTTCCTGCCTACTGTTGTCGTCCAGCTTTTAAACAAGACTGCTGACAGTCAGTGTGGCCTCTTATTAAAAGCAAACTACCTTTTATGCAATTAGCGCCAGATGCGGCGCAGAGACAAAGAGACTAGCGTGCCTATAAATGGATCATTATGCCTTTTTCGGCATCATTTGAAGGTATTTACCTAAATGGGGGTTTGTTAGGTTCTATTAGACTAACAGTATAATCACATGGCTGCAGACACAACCTAGTCCGTTTTCACCTGCTTCAATCTCATTTCCATCATCTCTCCGTTTTCCTTCACCACAGCGGATGCATGGCTCCACCTGCTCCTCACTCATCCTCCACCTCTGTCCCTGTAGTTATTACGTCTGCCTGTCCCCCAGCGGACTACCTTCTCTGAGTACTGCAGCAACACCAAACTGGCAATAAATCACATTGCATTATCACCGCGCCGTGCTTCGCCTCGCTCCGCGCTCCGCCCACACCGCGCTTCTCATTGGTAGGTGCGCCTCCTCGGTCAGCCTCTCTGCGCGGGACGTCGCAGCCACCGCACGTCCCGCCTCCTTCCTTGGGGCCCGTGATTGGGAGAAAGGGCCTCTCCTTGAGCTGCCAATCATGCCCCCCTTCCTGCGCGCCTCGGCTCGCGCTCGTCGCTGCTCTCTGCGACGCACTGAGAGCGGAGCGGAGCGGAGAGGCGCGCTGCATACCAACAGAGACACAACGGCAGGCTAATTTCTGGTCAGGACGCACAGACCATAACCTACTCTGACTGAACAGATTACATCCGATCATTGGACGGCTGGAATTTTTCACGCTTGTGCTTCTTTAGAAACGAGCCGCCTGAGAGCCAAACTAATTATCTGGGATTTTTGTTTTTTTGTTATTTCTGCTGTTTGCCAGAGATCCGGCACCAGAGAATATTAAAATAATAATAGTAACAATTAAAAAAGACACATCCTCTCTCCGCGTCTCTCTTTCTGCGGGAGTAAATCAGAAGGAAAAGTCCGGACATATGTTTTCATCCACTCACATGTAGAAGAGTTGGACTTACTGGGCTCTTGATGTTTTTTGAATAAACACATTTTTTCCCGCAGCGGTTCCATCGGGGAGGAATACCGTCATATTTGGCTGCAACAAAACAAGCAGAGAATCAGTCAGAACTCCATCATGGGCTGTCCGCTTGTGCACAACGCATTGGCTGCTTTGATCCTGGTTCTGCTGTTTAAAGGTAAGTTTCCTACGACCCACTTAAGTGACGTGTTGACGTTTTTCTGCTGCGCCTCCATATCCATGCCTTTTAATTGTGATGGTCGTGGGGTGAATACTGATGCTGATGATGATGATGATGATGATGATGATGATGATGATGAGTGGCTGGGTGGGTGTTTACCTGGATCAGTGTCTGTTGATTTTGCTTACTCAGAGCTGCGTAAATATGTTGTTTGTACTTGCGCGCGCGCTAATGCGCGTGCAGGTCGGCAGCCCAGAACAGGGTTCATCTGCAAGTAAACCTCGTGGCTGAGTGTAAGCGTCGGGTGATGCATGTTGAGGTGTTTACAGAAAGGGAGAGGGTGGAGGAATGGAATGGACTCCTCGGTGAGCATTCCCTCACTACGTGACTTGAATGGGACGGCATCCCCCGCGCGCACGACGCATTTCAGGCAGGGACCGTGGAGTGAACGTGCCAGGGGCTCGAAGCAATGCGGGGAGACTCAGGAGAGAGGCACGGTGGTTTGTTCTCTTTCTTCACAGCCAAGGTCGAGAGAGAGAGAGAGAGAGAGAGTGAGAGAGAGAGAGAGAGAGAGAGAGAGAGAGAGAGAGAGATGGTCGTGCAAGGATGGAGATCTGGGAGGACTGGAGTGATCCAACAGTGGCAGGCTGGCACCGATAACAATCCCTTCAGCTTCCCCAAAAGAGACAAACACACTTCCTGCAGTTAAAAGTGGAGATACCTGACATGCTCAGCATCTTCTTCAGGAGGAGACAGTGCTGCTGATGTCGTTAGGGAGCACCAAGCATGGACTGTTTCACATCTTATTGCATATTTCATATTACCCACTAAATTCTCACTATGCTACGGGATGTCCAACGTCTTATTAGCTGTGCACAACATTCCCACCATATCCTCTGATTTCCCACAGCACATCTAGCATGAGCACAGACAAATACTCACACCTGGCTCAATTAGTCCTGCCTTAGTCTGGAGGGAAATCAGTATATAAATAAATTACTCAGGGCCCCCTTAATAACAATAATTGATGTGTCAGTGCAATAAGATATGAGGTTAACAACCAGCAGATGCAGACAGGCTGAACCCTCATGCTCCTGCGCTTATTGTGGGCAAGGAGAGCCCAGCTGGTCATGGTTGGCTTCCCACAGTAAGCCCCATATCCAGTCCAGGCAGACAGCAGACGGACAGCCCTGCAGGAAGCACACCAAAGGATTCAGCATCACACGGACCAGCTCTCCAACCAAAGTGCGTCTCATTTCATGTTTCAGGCCAGCAGACTTGTAACCTGTGGGGTTCGTGCGATGTGAAGGTGTGACCAATCATCTCAGACACAGCTGAGGAATGATTGAACGTTGATGTGAGATGCGCACATTGCAGCACACTGGAATCAGATTCATCTCTGGGAAGGACGGATCCCGCCTGCTGCTGCAGGTTGATGTGAGCAGAGACACTCTGAGATTGTTGCACCATGGGGGCTCAGCCCATCTAAGAAATATTAACATTTTTATGATATTTTCAGGAATATGTTTAACATAAAATGTGTTGGTTTGGGATCGTTTTGCCTACAGACATGTAACCGAAGCAAAATGCTAAAAAACAAAAATTGGTCTTTGAAACTTGTTAGAAATCCATAATTACCTGCTGTTACCATTATGATCAATACTGTATACTTGGCAGATATACAATAACAAACTAGACGCCGAAGTTACAACTAACAAACACGCCCCCCTAGTGGCTGGTTGCAGATCACGTTTTAGGCTCCGCCCCTTCATACACCTAAATAGAACAATTTTCTGATGAAATAAAACCTTAGTTACAGTTTTTAAGGTGGATTTTTCTTGATTCATATAGTTTTTAGCTTATTTAATACTCTGTGTCCATAAAAACAACATGACAGTGCCTTTAGGCTATCATAACTTATTTTTTCCATGACGGAGAAAGGACCTTTGGTCCACTTTATGAATCTATGGTTGTGACATTTTTGAACATTCATCAACTTTAGCCATTTTTTATGGCAACAGTTGCCCTTTGAGATAAACCCTGAGACTGTGTTTTCTGTCTTGTCTTTCGCCTGTTTAGATCTCATCGTCTTTTCTGTCTTACAGTTCTTATCTCTTCTGCCGCTAAAAACCATGCAATATGAACATATTATGAATCTAAACACATCTCCCATCTGCTGGTCTGATGATTAGGTTAGGTCCGACAAACATCTTCATCTTTTAAATTTGAGTCATTTTAGTTCCAGCCCACATTGCTCAACTATTTTCCTTGTGCAAAATTCATGTTTTCTTTTTATTGATGGTTTTCAGCAGCCATTGAATCTGGTTTGGCCTCCTATGAAGCTTATTTTAATGTAAAGATTCTTTTTAAACATGATTTTAATACCTAAGGTCAACTAAGAACAGACTATATGGATGACGGTCCCTCTTCTTCCTCATTAACAGATTTTAGATGAAGCATCTCCTTGATTTCTTCATTATCTAGGATATCCAATAGGTGTGTTCATTATCACTTCTGTAGAGATCCAGAACTACGTGCACTCTGTATCTGGATTGGTAGAGTACTCTTGTACCAAATCAGTTTTGGGATTAAGTGGTGCATCAGTTTAATATGTTTTTGCACTAATAAAATCCAATCTGTGGGATTATTAGACCCCTGTTGGGTTTATTTGTATTTGAAGACTAGATCATTCATAAGACACTTCTTTCAATGTGCAACTCTTGCTCTATTGCCATTTTTGATCCTTAGCTGGATTTCACTGTGGCGTTGTTTCAATAAACTTCAGCAATGTCACCAGATTTATTTCCATCCAGTGTTGCATTAATGTTTCACCAAGATGATGGCAGAGTCTGACCGCTGCACCAAGCCTTCTCGAGCACCTCCCAAAGATTCTCAATGGAGTTAAAGTTTGGACTCTGTGGTGGCAATCCATATAGGAAACATGTTTTTCTGATTGGCTTAATGAACTGACATGAATTGGAATGTTTATTATGTGAAGTGCCTTGAGATGACTCTTGTCGTGATTTGGCGCTATATAAATAAAATTGAATTGAATTGAATTGAATTGAAAATGATGTCTCATACTCCCCGAACCACTCTTTCACTATTTGAGCCTGATGAATCCTGGCATTGTCATCTTGGAATATTCCAGTACCATCAGGGAAGATGGAATAACCTGGTTATTCAGGATATTCAGGTAGTCAGCTGACCTCATTCTTGGAGCACGTCCTGTTGCTGAACCTAGACCTGACCAACTGCAGCAATCCCAGATCATAACACTGCCCCCACAGGCGTGTACAGTAGGCACTAGGCATGATGGATGCATCACCTCATCTGCTTCTCTTCTTACCCTGATGCACCATCACTCTGGTACAGGGTCCATCTGGACTCATTAGACCAGTTTTTAATAAAGCGTTGGACAGTTCTTAACCCAGTTTTAGTCGTTTCTACAATCTCCTTAGATGTTTCCTCTGCTTGGTGCCAATGATCTGATTCTTCTCCAACAGACTGACATCTTTTCCACGACCACCAGATGGGTCTTAACATGGTTGTTTACTCATTACACCAGTTGAAGTAAAATAACTTGTTGCAGCTGAAAGCTAATCACCTGTGCAGTGATCATCCAATAGGAGCCTCGTATTTATTTGCTTAGTTAAATCGGGTGGCAACTTTTTTTTTTGTTTGGGAAGTCTAAATGAGTAAAAATTACCTTTAAAGGGCACCACCCCTCATCTTAAGTGTAATGTTAGTTAATTAAGTTTTGTAATTTAAAACAACTACTTTACATATATTTCATAGGTAGTACAAATTCAGACGCTTTCAACGATGATGAATTAATGAATCAAACTCATAATGAATCACATCAAATAGGTTTCTGCTGCTTATGTATTTTTAATTCTTCAGATCTTTAGTCTATCTACGTGTACTATTTTAGCTGCAGACCAGAGTTGCACAGCTAAACTATAAATCCTGCATTATATAGAAAGAACATGACTGTTAAAAGGCTTTTTGATGGTTAATAAATGATGAAGTAGTGGACTAATCCTCATCTGCTCCTCTGAGTCGTGCGTTCTGTGTGGTTGCTGAAACGAGTCACCAAGTCCTGTTCAGATCTTACTGAGTAACTTAATAATGCACAACATGCAGAATTATCCTTCTACTGATTTGAAAGTATAATTTATCTACTTATTTTTAATCTCATGCATTTGCAGTCTCAGATTTTTTGTTGGGTGTGCACAAAAAAAAAGATCTGGTATTGCACGTGCACTCGGAAAAGGTAAAGTGTGCTTCAGATCTGTACAATGGCATCGCAGCCAGGAGGTCTCTCTGTTCTGCAAAACACACCATTAAGCTATTCAAAGGTTTCCCACAGACTTGGCATCTGAATCCACAAAACACTCGAAGGATACGATGTCCAGGTCCTGGCATGGCATCATGCCAGTCTCTTTCTCGTTTGTTTTCATTGTTTACTTGAAATTTATAAGGACCAGTGCTCTAAGCTGATGGCCAAGCGCCCACTCAAACATATAAAAAATATCTGTGCATTCCTGGCGCAAGAGCTGTCTGCAATTACTCAAAAACGGTTGCTTCACTATAACCAGAGCAGGGATTAAACATTCCGTCTGGAATGCATCCATATACACATTAATTTCAATTAATTACACAATAATTGCTGTTATAACAAAAGCCTACAATATGTAAAATTGAGATTAATGCAACTGCATATTCTTGGAGCTGGGAGGATGACAAGAGAAGTTTTCTATGGAGCCACAATGGTCACAGCAGAAAAATGTTTGAGGTTAAATTGAAGGATTTCATTTTAAAGCCAATTTAAGATTAATAAGGAACCTTGTTTCTGTGTCGTAGATATGCACCGATGTGCTTCAGGGAATCCCATTTACACACAAAGCTGTATGCAATTCCTTCTCTGCAAGTTGTGCTCAGTCAGTCTAACAAATGGCTTATTTTACCAACATGCAGGAAGCTCTAGAAGAGAG